CTGACTGAACTTTGTTGGATTTTATGACAAGATTTAAGCTCAAGGCTAAAGTAAATTTTAAAATTACTTTTAATTTAAATATTCTCAGATAAAACGCTGGAGTCAACGGCATGGTATCAGCTGATATTAGCGATAAAATTAAATATGGGACATCGGCCATTCCACCAAAACAACTCACCAATATAAAGAGGTGTTGGTTTAAGTAGGGGGTGCACAGATTGCAGTTTTCTGGCCGATCACCGATTTCTAAAAAGTCTGACCTGTTGATTCCAATTTATAAGACACTGTCAGGTGAAGGTCACAATGCACCTTCAATTTTCCAATCTTATTTTGCTGAATAACAGACCCTTGAACAATATGCTAGAAACAACACAAACTGGTTTTAACTGGCCACGAGGTAGCGTTGTGAAATATAAATGAAGTTCAGACAATTGTTAAAACTAAAAAAATAAATAAATCAGTAAAATCGGTTTCTCATGCAAGTTATCGGCCGACTTCCCAAAATTAAGGAAATCGGGGCCGAAAAATCGGCGCATCCCTAGTTTTAAGTTAATTTTTCATTTAAGAAACTAAGTATATCTATTAACGCACCACTACTTGCGCGCTTTTCGCCTGTGAAAAGGTTGAGTTTAGATTTGTGAAAATTGACAAGTTTGCACAGTTCAAGTGTTGTCATTGTGTGAATAAATTTGACATTAAATATAATCCAAGTTGAAGTGTTGCATCATTTTCAGACTCCTTTTTGACATCTGCACTTAGTAGCAGGCCAAATTGATAAAGACCATGCAGAATAATGTAGTATTTTAATTCCACAGCAGAGAAAGCTATGTAGTCTCTGTAAGTAGGTCTAGGGGGGAAAAATATCGGTTATCGACCAAATAAATTTTAACATATCGACCAAAAATCCAATATCGTGCATCTCTAATTTATAGCCAATTTATAAAATTCCTTATTGTGCCTTCTCTGTTCTGCTCTTTATAAAATAACGTTGAGTCTGACAAGTTGATACAAGTTCAACAATTAGCTAGTTATTAGCCTCAGCGTTTGTTGCAAAACAACAAAAATGATGCTCAATAAAGTTGTGAACACGGTGAGTAAATCTGCTAAACGTGCTGTAATCCACACGTCCTCTTCATATTTCCCATCACTTAACACAACAGCCAGACAAATTAAACTTGTGTTTCTCGGGGGGGGGGCTTGCGAGTTCAACAAGTGTTTATTCTCAGACGACTGATGCGGTGACTATAAACCTGCCTCACAGACGGAGAGCTGACACATGTGAGAAGCATTCACTTGACTAACACTCGTGTCCGAGCGATCTGTAAGAGATAACAGCAGCCAGGCAGGGTGGAAAGCTGCCAACATCCTCCTCCTCTTCCTCTACAGGACAACCTGTCAAACCTGATCAGCCATTTTCATCCAGGAGCTCAAGATTTCATCATCACACCTCCTCACATCCTTTTTTTTTTTTTTAAAGGAACACTTGAAAGTCTAAAGCAAGCTTGGGGAAAAATAAAAAGCTGAGCAGCTGAAAAGGTAAAGATGTGGTCAAATTAAACCAACAAGCCACAGAGCGACGACAACCAGCTGCAACGTAACAGAACACCGCCCGGTACGGTCTGTATGACTGCTGGTAGGACGATTACTTGGGGACGGTTTTTACCCGTTTTAAAAACACGCTTTTCGGAGTTTACCCGCTCAGACGTCACAGAAGAAACATCGCTCAATGTTTAAACAGTCACAGACTTGACACGACTAAACTGGCATTTTGGTCATTTATTTTAACACGATCGCAGTTTAGGTTCGACGACTTTTACAGATTTTCTACTGAACGCTTTCCTGACAGCGACTTGTGACTAGACCTGTCGCGATAAACAATGAATCGATCAATCGCACGATGAATGAAAATTATCGGCTTCATCGTCTCTTCGTGTCTCGCTTTCAAAAGGCTCAACTCCGGTGCTCTTCACTGACCCCTCCCCCTTTCTCTTTAAAATCTGTTTTAACGATCCAAAATTGTGTTTTTGGATCGTTAAAAGCAGCTAAGCTGAGAAGCTAATCTAACAGGCTGACCTCGGGAAAAACCTCAGACTTGTTGAAGCTCCAGAATTCACGGTTGAAACTTGTGCCTTAGTGTAAAACGTTGGTTTTCTCTTCAAAAAGAGGCTGAGAACTTGTTTACTGATTTTTTTTATTAAAAGCTTTGTGTGAAAAACGCAATGCTCAAGAACTCAAACTACACCGAATGGCCGCCATTTTGAGAACCAAAGAGAGACAGCCCATTTCACGTCAAGGGGCCTCCCTCCCATTTTTTTTTAAAGAAACACGCAGCTCACTCCCTCAGTATCCATTCTTTGGTTCAAACAGTCTTATACTGCCATCCGATGGTCAGAAAAAGGTACTACACGCAAAACAAATGAAATATTTCTTCTTAAATTTGACAATAATTACTAATTATTGTCAAATTTCAAACTATAGTAACGTTTATCGCAATAATTTTTAAAACAATCACCAAACTAGGCCTGCCACGATAATAAATTTTGCTGGTCAATTAATTGTCTGAGAAATTACTGCGATAAATGTTAATATTGTTTAACTTTAACAATAATTAGTAATTATTGTCAAATTTAAGAAGAAATGTTGGTTAATTTTTGTGTGGAGTACCTTTTTTGACCACTGGATGGCAGTATAAGACTGTTTGAACCGAAGGATGAATAGTGAGGAAGGCCCCTTGACGTGACATGGGCTGTCTCTCGTTCCTGTTTTTTGGTTCTCAAAATGGCGGACACTCGGTGTGGTTTGAGCTCTTTAGCATAGCATTTTTTACACAAAGCTTTTAATAAATATCAGTAAACAAGTTCTCAGCTTCTTTTTGCAGAGCAAAATAACTTTTTACACGAAAGTACAGGTTTCAACCATGAATTTTGGAGCTTTAACAAGACGGAGGTTTTTCCCCAGGTCGACCAGTTAGCTTAGCTCGTAGCTTAGCGTCTCGGCTTAGCTGCTTTGAACGATCCAAAAACATGATTTTGGACGGTTAAAACAGATTTTAAAGAGAAAAGAGAAAGGGAGCGGTCAGTGAAGAGCACTGGAGTTGAGCCTTTTGTCATCCAGTGTCTTCAGTAGAAAGAGAGATACACGAAGAAATGATAAATCCGATAAATGAAAAGGAGGTCAATAATTTTCATTTATCGTGTGATTAATTTATTTAGTGTTAATTGCAACAGCAAAATGTGTTATCATGACAGGCCTACTTGTGACTAGCCTAAAATTGTTACATCTTCTGCAAACAAATGAAGGAATTTGTCTTCTTTCATTTGGCTAGATTCTAAATACTTCAGTCATAAATTTACTCCAAATTCTCTCTTCAAAATCTGGAAGTTAAAGGGACTTTATGGCTAGCCACATCTACATAAAACAGTGTAGGGGTGCACCAATAAATCGGCCCTGATTTCCTTAATTTTGGGAGATCGGCCGATACTTACATGAGAAACTGATTTTTTGTAGTTTTAATAATAATTGTCTGTTTTTCAACAAAATAATATAGGAAAATTGAAGGTGCATTGTGACCTTATAACACGTGACAGTGTTGCTTATAAAACAAAAACGATATCGGTCAAAATCGGAATCGGCAGGTCAGTCTTTTTAAGAGATCGGTGATCAGCCAGAAAACTGCAATCGGTGCATCCCTAGAAGAAACATAAAAACCCAACATGTGTGACCATCAGGGTTTTCTACAGTGGCCGTGAAGTTTAAACCACAACTACAAAAAAAAACACACAAAAAAAAAAAACACCATTACATTTGAAAAAAATAAATAAAAAAATTACCTTTTTTTTCGCCATGACTTATACGCCGAAAAGTACGGTATATTAAGACAAACCAGAAGAGGTGGGAGGTTCAAACGTCTCGTCGTCCAATCTGCGATGTCTCACGTTTCCCCACTGGTCTCACCTCTCCCAGTTTCGTTTAATGCAACTGTGTTTTCAAATGTTTTTTTTTATTTATTTGTAGTCACACTTTTCGATTTGTAGTTGTGGTTTAAACTTCAGTGCCACCGTAGTTTACTGCTTCTCACAATTCGAAAAGATGCCAGTCGTAGTTCTTGCACAGCGACTTTTTGAGGCTTACTTTTCAGTCCGTTTCTGCCTGCCTTCCATGAATTTGGGGAGTGAGAGACGGGATCACCATGGCGACAAATTCATATACGGTTCATACATCAAATTGTATGTTTTTTTCTTAGCTTAGAGTACTACAAAGGTACTTTTCGGAGTTTTAAACTAGAAACTGCTTTGCATTCTTTAAGGAGTTGTCTAGTTTTGACTTTGTTGCCCCAGCAGGGGTATTTAGTTTTTGTTTTGTATTTGGACCTGGAAACATTTCTTTTAAGAAGAGAGAAATATCAGTTAACAGAAAAATAAGGGGTGGTGGGGGGACTCGGCCATCTGCTACCCTGATTTTTGTGATTGGCATCGGAAAACTCAAGTCAGTCACATCCGGATGAGAAGATAAAATCCAAAGAATAAGTCATAAATAAAAGAGACGTGCTTCATAATAAATCAGTTTCGGTGTTTATCGTGTAGTCACGTCGGTTTATCAGCTTATTAGAGATTACACTGAGTGGATCTCCTCAGTTTGAAGCCGCTTGCTGCGGCAGATCTCAATCAGATCACAAAGATTGATTTTATGACCTTTTCTTTTTTATTAATTTGACCGTGGATGCTGATGCTACCAAGCTAACGCATAGCTCCCGATGGACACAAGTCTCACACACGCACCGTCACGTTCCTGGATATCACAATCCGACAGAAACGCTGCTTTATCGTGACACGAACAAAGTGGAGGGGGAATGTGCAGATGCTGGGCTTTCGACCGGACCCAAATGTCCTGGCAGCGGCGTGTTTTCAGAATTAGCAACAGCTAGCCTAGCATCAGCTCGCCACCCACTGAGGTGTCGCCCGTAATTTGACACATCGAATAAAAAATAAATAACCAGGTACCTGGACATAGTTGCTTTCGCAGTACTCGGCGACTCTTTCTAAGTTGGTGAAACTGTCCAGTAGTGCGCTTCGTCCCGCTGGAATCTCCTCTTCCAGAAGCATTTGTAGCTCCGCCATTTTCACATCTTTATCGGAGCGGTGTGTGTTGGGGCTCGACAGCGCCGCCGCGGCCGCCTGTGGTACTGCAGGGCGCTCCCAGGTGCCATGATTCACGCGCATTCATTCGTTCATTCAACCTTTATTTAGTCAGGTTAAACCCACTGAGCCGCGGGGACTCATTTATAAAGAGACCTGATTTTAACAAAGAGTGATGACAACAGTGAGTAACAAGGACAACAATAGACAATCATAAAAAAAGGCATACATTTTTTTTTTCTAGTTCAGTTCTCACTGAGGGGACACTGCATGTAATAATGTCCTGTGAGCGCACGCTGTAGCTGCACACGCAGGGATACCCGCTGCTTAGGATTTATGGCGTTCACAAAAAAACTACAAAAGTACCGCCAACTGGGTGTGATGCGGCCACCAGAAAACTGTCAAACGTCACGAGTGCCACTGAAGAGATCTGAAGTGGTTTATGTAAAAAAATAAAAATAATAATAATAATTTAAAATAAATGGAGAAATTGCATTTCCTGCAAAAATGCTGAAATTAGCTAAAAACATGCTAAAATGTAGCTGAAAATGTAGAAAAGCATAAATCAGCAGAAAGAACACAAAAGTTGAAATGAGTGCAAAAAAAATTTGGAATAGCTGGAAAAGCTAATATTAGCAACAACAACAAAAAAAAAACAGATAAATAGTAGCCAAAATAATCGAAACTAGCAGAAATAGACTGAAAGGAGCACAAGTTGAAATAAGCTGAAATTATTTAATTAGGCTGAAAGTAACTAAGTCCATGCTCAGGGCCGGCAATGGAGGAGGGGGCGTACCAAAGAGACCATCTTATCACAAGCAGAACTGGTTTGTTCCACTTTGGAGTAAGCTGTTGGGGGAAGAATAAGTTTTGTTGTGTGTTTCCTTGACTGATGAAGCCTTCCGGACCGAAGGCGAAACATTTCAGCACAAAAAAAAAGAAACTGTCCAGATGACTGAAAAATGTTGGATAGGCTGAAAGTAACAGAAATTGCCATGAAAAGCTTGAATTTATCTGAAAACAGCTGAAATAAGCTAAAATATGATTTAAAAAAAGCTATCTGAAATGGTAGAAGCTTAAATTAGCAAAAGAAAGCAGAAAGAACACGTTTGCCCAATTAGACTGAAAGAAGCAGAAATTAGCACAAAAGTGGAAATTACCTGAAAAAAGCTAAAATTAGCATAAAACCAACTGAAAACTAAAAAAAAAAAAAGCAGAAAGAAGCTTAAATTATAAGAAGGAAGTGGAAAGAGCACATTTTTGCTGAAGTGGGCTGAAAATGTTGAAATTAGTGCAACAAAAGTGGAATTAGCTGAAAAAGCTAAAATTAGCATAAAAACTGCTAAATAGTAGCCAAAATAGCAGAAAATGCTGAAACTTGCAGAAATAAGCTCTGAAAGGAGCATAACAAGCTGAAATTAGCAGAAAGAAGTTAGAAGACGCACAAAAAGGTTGTAGTCAGCAGAAAGATCCTCAAACGAGCACAAAACAGCTGAAAAAAAAAGGTTGAAAATAGCTGGGACAAAAGTTTAAATGTGCACAAAGTAGCTGAAAGAAGCTGAACCAGAACAAAATGTGAAAGCAGCAGTAAAAGGTTGTAAACACATTTAAAGATACGAAGAATGTAAAATGAGCTCAGTTCATTTTCTATGAGAAAAAAAGTGACAGTAAAAGCTAAATATTCCAAACAGCTAATGTTGCATAAATTCCAAAAGTCATAGCAGGACTGACCTAAACCAGCTGAATGTTTTGCTTTATGATTTGAATAGCACAAAAATTGTGGAACGAGAAGGATGTTGAAAAACTACGGAAGAAAAATGGATCCCAATGGTGTGAATGCTTCATAATCAGCGAACGCGCACGGCCGATGATCCGGTTGTCCATCTGAAGTTTAACGGGACTTTTTTTTTTTTTACCTCTTTCAACCGGCTGGTCAGTGGACACGCACAGTCGATGATCCGGTGATCCACCTGAAGCATAATGGGACTTCCTTTTTTTTTTTTTGAACCTCTTTCAACTGGCCGGTCAAATCTGAGCATGCACCTGCCACACATCAGCAGGTTGCACTGTGCTGGCTTTGCAGAGTGAGTTCTCTTGTTTTTAACTTTTAATACTTTCCAGCTCCATTATGTTGTTTGTTGTGGTTCAACAGCAAATCCTCAGATGTGTGATAAGAGCAAAGGGTGGGCGGAGCCACATGCGCAATGCACCAGCACTACTCCCTCTTTGCACAGTCCGAATGACTTTCTTTTCTTATCCTCAGTAAACTTACTCAACAAGCAGATGAACAAAATGTTACCTTGTGCATTCTTAGTTTTCTTTGTGTTGTATGATTCATAAAACCGTATCAAAAGCCTGAGCCCGACCCGGCCCGCCCATCAAGCACATAATTTTGGCCTGACCCGGCCTGAATTTCAGGTCAGGTCAGGCCAGAAATCGTAGCTCTACTCGTATGTAGATATAGCATGTTATATTAATTTTAAAATGTCTTGATTATTTGATCAACTGCAATATTTAGTCAAGTTTTTTTTAATCATTACCGTAAAGTTTCTTTTCTGGTAGAAATCACTAACGGTTGTTGGCCCTTTGTACCATGAAGTGAATATAAAACGATTATAGCCAAAGGTTTGTATTTAGCTTAATATTGCTCATTTTGAGGACTGTTTTTCATCCGTTTTGCTGTTAAACCTAAACATCATGTCAAGAAGGATTACCAATTAATTTGCAGAACGTCTGCATCGACCTCTAAAGACCGGTGGCCAAAATGATGCCGTTCTTAAACTTCAGCTGTGGGCTGCACAAACTCACAAATGGCCCTGGGGCCGCACTTTGGACACCCGTGCCTTCAATGGCACCCATTTTTATTTTTTTATATGTAGTTTTGTAAGGCTGGCACAACAGAGGAATGCAGAAATATACAATTTTAATATATTAAAGTTAGTTTAATTATGTGATAAACCTCTATCTAAACATTTCCTGTTTAACCATCTCCTAAAAAGAACCATTCAGCACCTTTTATCAACGTGGACAACTGAGAAATGATAAATTATACAGATATTACTTCATAATAAACAAATGATATTACAATAAAAATAGCTAGAGCAGTTTCATATTTATTTATGCAGCTTGTACGGCTAATAACTCGTTTTATTAATATGTTTAAAGGCAAAAATTCACTTTTGCTCCGTTATGGCCTCTGAAAAATTAAATAAAGGCATTTTGAAATATAAAAAAAAAACAAGTATATGCAACAGATTAAGCCATTATGAGACTGTGCAGACACCTTCCTTTAGGTGGATTCAAAGTAGATAAAAAAAAAGAAGAAAAACTCAGTTTTATGTAAAAGTTTTTAATGAACAGATATTTAAAAAAAAACGAACCAAGTGTCTAAATCGTTTGTGGATCATTTCACTAACAATTGGCTTGACTTCATTACCAGGTGGATACCGTTTTGTGAAAAATGTAAAGATAAAATTTAAAGAAACTCTTTATTTTGTAGTGCCAGTTCCATGTGACGGTGCGCAAATCAACCACATTAAACAAAGAGAACGGAGACAAAAGCAGAACAGACAGAAACTAGGCTTTTTCTATGGGAACAAAAACCTTCATAGTGATTTTATAGTTGTTAATGTTTCCCTCTAAATGTTATTTAAACTAAAAACAAAGATGCCGTTTGTTGCCAGATTCTGTGGACTAAATTTGAGATGGGTCACTGTTTCCAACATGACCACTAGGGGGCAGTAATGTCACACGCTGTTCCTTTAAAGACAAAACTAAAACGATTTTTATTTTCAAACTACGTGTTCTTCGGACTATAAGGCGCACTTAAAATCCTTTAATTTTCTCAAAAAAAATCGAGAGTGCGCCTTATGTTTTAATTCTGGTTGTGCTTACAGACCTCAAAATCATTTTATGTGGTTATTGCGAATGAGTTGAATAAAGTTTGATTTATCTGTTTTTATTGCGCCTTTTAATCCGGTGCACCTTATAGTCAGAAAAAAAACTCGGTATTGGGATTCAATCAATGCCAGTTTGGCAAGTTTTACGTTGGTACTTGGTTAAAAGCCACTGAAAGCTGCAAGCATCAAAAAGACAACCAGAAGTTGCAAAACCTGAGGGCATCCCGATGAAAAGAGTCAAAATTATAAGTTTCATCTCAAACTAGGAGCAGAAACCAGTTCGGTAACTCAACTCGTACTGGCGCTCTCTTACAGCACGACTCGTCAGCTCCTTCCTCTTAGCGGACTGTTTTCAGCTGCTTCTGCTGCTGACGGTGATCCAGGTCTCTTCTTTGGGTGTGGACACCAGCTCGGATCGGACCTCCGCCACTTGTCCCTTCAGCTGGTGAAGCTTCAGCCGCCGCACCAGCGTGCTGAGAAGAACTGTAGCTACGGTGTAGGCGAACCTAAATGGAGGCCAAACAGCTGTGATGGTTGATGTTTTAGCTCTAAATGATTGATTTTTTAAAAACACTTTTTTTTACCGGAGTTCTGGGCACGTTTGATTCCCAGAAAAGCCGAGCAGGCAGAAGCTCTTCCTGGCTGATTGTTCCTCAAATCGATCCGGATCGAACCTAATTCAGGTCAAGTTCAAAAATCAAACAGTGACACCGTTCAAACAACAATCCGTTTGATTTTTACTCCACGAGGTGACGTTTCTCCTTACATTTCTGAGTTGTGCAGCTGTTCTTTATGAAGTTTCATAAATGTGTCAGACCAACCTGTACGCAGCGCTCCACGTGTCTGGATCTTGCAGCACCACTCCCAGAGCGTAGATCACCAGCGTCTGAAACGGGAAACAGTTCTTCCTTTAAAACTTACGTTTATGAAGCGTTCACACTATTGTGATCCATTTTTCTTCTTTGTGTTTTTCTGCATCTTTCTCTTCCACAAGTTTTGTGCCATTTCAACAAATCATGTATCAAAACATTCAGAACTATCCTGCTGTGACTTTTGGTATTGGTGCAACTTTAGCTTTTTGAAATATTTAGCCTTTTCGGCCACTTTTTTCCCTCATAGAAAATGAATTGAGCTCATTTTCCATCCTTCAAATCTTTAGATCTGTTTACAACCTTTTACTGCTCCTTTCACATTTTGGTCTGGTTCAGCTTCTTTCAGCTTCTTTGAGCGAAGTTGAACATTTTTCAGATAATTTCAGCTGTTTTGTGATCCCTTTAGATTCTTTCTGTTAACTACAACATTTTTGTGCTTCTAACTTCTTTCTGCTAATTTCAGTTTGTTATGCTCCTTTCAGCCTATTTTTGCAAGTTTCCGCTATTTCAGCTACTATTTAGCTGTTTTATGATAATTGTAGCTTTTTCAGCTAATTTCACTTTTGTTGCACTCATTTCAACTTTTTTCTGCCTTATTCAGCAAAAATGTGCTCTCTCCACTTCCTTTTTGTAACTTGTTTCTTTCAACTATTTTAGCTACTTTTCAGCAGTTTTTTGTTAATTTCAGCTTTTTCAGATAATTTCCTCTTTTTGTGCTCATTTCTGCTTCTTTCGGCCGAATTCGGAAAACGTGCTCTTTCTGCATTCTTACGCCAATTTAAGCTTGTTCTAGCTTTTCAATTAGCTTTTTAGCATATTTTAGCTAATTTCAGCTGTTTTCAGATAAAGTCAAGTTTTCATGGTAATTTCTGCTACTTTAGATCAAAATAATTATTTCAAACAGTCGAGATTAAAGGCTGTTGATTATCCATGCTGCTGATTTCTTGACTGTATTCTATGTATATGACTTGACTGTATTTTATATGTACCGTAACTGTCGGTGTATAAGCCGCTACTATTGTCTCACACTTTGTACCCTGCGCTTTATATGCAGGAGCATCTTATTTATGTACATTTTTTCATATTTTTCAAAATTAATTTTTTTATTTTATTTTGGAAGACTTCCTGTCATTTCATAGCAGCTTCCTGCCACTGTCTACAATTTACTTTTGACAAAGCTGGGCACTTACATTTACTGTACAGTGAATACCTGCGGCTTAACAGCCGGTGCGTCTTATTTATGTACAAAATTATGATTTATCTTATATTTAGTATGTGCGGCTAATATACAGGTGCGCCTTGTAGTCCGGAAATTACGGTATAAAAGCCAATGCAGACATGTTCCTGTTTTTAGTTTTCTAAATCGCCTTGTGATCGAACTGTTTTTTTGCTGCTATTCCTCTGGATTGTTCTTTTGGTTGCAATTTTGTTTTTGATTTGTTAAAAAAAGAGAAAAATTTGTATGCCTATTTTATGACTGTCTATTGCTGTCGTCCATTGTTGTTATCACTCTTCGTTAAAGAAATCAGGTCTCTCTTGTAAATGAGTCCTCGAGGCTCAATGGGATTAACCAGTCTAAATAAAGGTTGAATTAATGAATTCTGCTATATTCATCCCCATCTGCTCACCACAGACTCATGTTCAGGCTACTGTTTAATATAACATATTATTTTACATTAATATTGTTTAGTGTATATCTTAGATTCTTGTATACTGTTTCTTTTTATAATTTATATTTTTGCTATTTTTGGGTGTAACTTGGACCTTGAGTACACAATTTCGTCCCACCTCATGAACCACATGTGATGCAAATGATAATAAACGAACCTTGAACCTAATGTTTACTATGTTCCATTGGAAACTAGACCTGTCACAATAACAAATTTTGCTGGGTGATTAATTATGTCAAATTATTGTGATAAACGATAATATTGTTTGAAATTTGACAACAACAAGTAATTATTGTCAAATTTTAAAAGAAATGTTGGTTAATTTTTGTGTGTAGTACTTTTTTTGACCACCAGATGGCAGAATAAGACTGAACTGAAGGATGGATAGTGAGGGAGCGAGCAGCGTGTCGCTAAGAAAAATGTGAGGGAGGCCCTTTGACGTGACATGGGCTGTCTCTCCTTCCAGTTTTTCGGTTCTCAAAATGGCGGACGCTCGGTGGTTTGAGCTCTTTAGCATAGCGTTTTTCACACAAAGCTTTTAATAAAAAAAATCAGTAAACAAGTTCGCAGCTTCTTTTTACAGAGAAAAACAACTTTTTACACAAAGGCACGGGTTTCAACCGTGAATTTTGGAGCTTCGAAACGACAGTTTTTTTCCCCGAGGTCGACCTGTTAGCTTAGCTCGTAGCTTAGCTTCGCAGCTTAGCTGCTTTTAATGATCCAAAAACATGATTTTGGACGGTTAAATGGATTTTAAAGAAAAAAAAGAAAGAGAGGGGTCAGTGAAGAGCACTAGGGTTGAGCCTTTTGTCATCCAGCGTCTTCAGTAGAAAGAGAGCGACAAAGAAACGATAAAGCCGATAAATGAAAATAAGTTAGCTAATTTTCATTTAACATGCGGTTAATCGATTTATTGTTTATCGCGACAGGAATGGAAATAAAATACAAGTTTATGAGAATGTCTAAATCATTGCATTTTGGTTTTATTTACATTTTACACAACATCCCAACTCTTAAAATTGGGGTTGTTCATGAGAGCCAGCCTTACGCATTTTATCAGTTCACGGTAGAATTTAGTTACCAAAAGGTGAATCTGTCCGAGGTGGCGAGCCTCGGTCAGCAGGATATCTTATACCTCTTTGGGGATGACATGTTGATCCACTTTGCCCTCCACTTCCTGAAGCCGAGCAGCAACGGGGGTCAGCTTGGCGGTCCGGACCGTCTCGTTCAGGACCTGTTGGCAGTATCTTTCCAGAGACAGAAATGGGATACAACCAAGAATACTTAACAATCAAGTGTTGGTCGGTGCGCCTAAATGTAAAGGTCGACTATTTCCTGCCTGTCGGGTTTCGGATCACCAGATATAAGGTCAGGTCTCACCTGAGCTGAGGAATCTTGTCCAGAGAAACTGGATCTGAACCCAAAACGTCCTCTAGCTCCTGGTACAACTTGTCCTGGACTTCCTCTGAGGTGGACAGGAAGTGAAGCGCCCAGATGCACACTGACAAAACAAGAGAGTTCATTTTAAACAGAGAAAATTGGAAAGGTTTGAATCATGTTCAGTTCTGATGGTCACCTACAGTTAGCGGTGATGACACATCCAGCCAAAGTAAAAACCATACAGTCCTCCATGATCTGAAAATAAAACATACAATGACATTCAGCTCTGAAAACCTCAGCAGAAGATTTGAATGCAGATGTGGAGACTTCACCTGCTGCTCTGTGAGGTTGGACTGAAGGAGAACGTCCACAAACACCGTCTGCGACCTCTGGCCTTTCCTCTCCCTCGACACAGACAGCAGCATGGACTCCATCTCTGACAGAGCTGAGCAAAGACAAACAGCCCTAAAATGTATTTAAAAAGAACCCAAAGGAGCTTGTAGAGTGTCTTTTTAGGGATTTGGATCCAGATGTTTGAAGACCTATATTTATGATAATAAACCACAGATGGTGGCCACAGCTTATTCTTAAAAAAGGGCATTGCTAGGCCTTTATTTCAATAACTTTTCAAGATGAAGTATGAGATATTCAAGAGGTTGTAATGCACGACTCTGCCACTAGATGTCTCTAAATCCCACACAAAAATATCAGAATTGAAATGTAAAAGAGCTCCATAAAATTTTATTGCATTTTGCAAACATTTGGAGTAGAAGTTAAAAACTAGCTTCAACACATTTCATTGAAAGGGTCAGGTTCCTTGATGATTGATATTTATGATAAATCTGTTTCTAAAACCTCAATCTGCAGGGTGTGTTCCAAGTCTTCTCTTTGCTATTCAGTTTAAGACATCGTCCAGACTAATTCAGCGTTTCACCTTCAAAACTTGTTTTTTATACGAGCAAAATCTTCGCTTTCAAGGTGTTTGTTAAAGGGTCTGACAAAAGATTACAGTAGTCCCTCGCCACTGCGGGGGTTCGACTTTCTTGGTTTTTCAAAGTAAGATTGTACACAAGTAAAAAAAAAAATTAGTGATGCACGATATTATCGGCATGGTATCGGTATCAGCCGATATTAGCGATAAATATCGGACATCGTCCATTCCATCAAAATAACTCACCGGTATATAAGGCGCTGTTTTCATATGACAACCCAGTGACAAGGATGCCTGCAACACCAGCAAAACGTTATAAAGTCACACGCGCCTACCTGATCTGATCACAGCGGGAGAGGAAGGAGTGAAAATGTCAGCGGTGTGGACGCTTTTTTAAGTGTCGGAAACTGATAGCAGAACTGCTATTTGCGATGACTGCTCAGCATCAGTGATGCGAGGAGCGAAAACGAAGTCCTACAACACTTCGAAACTAATTAACCATCTCAAGGACCACCATTCTGACCATTCTGATGAGTTCATGGTGGCCAGAAAGGAAAGCGAAAGAGCTGTCAACTGCGGAGAAATGAAACCTCACCAACAGTCCATCCATCCAAAGACCATGTAGAATAATGTAGTATTTTAGTTCCACAGCAGAGAAAGCAATGTATTCTCTGTAAGTACCAGTAGGTCTAAGGGGAAAAATATTGGTATTGGTATCGGTTACCGGCCAAATAAGTTTTAACATATTGGCATATCGAAGATCGGTCAAAAAGCCAATATTGTGCATCTCTAAAAAAAAATTGTACACAACACGATTGTCAACTTTAATATTACTCATGTGATTGGGACAGTATGGGACACAATACAGTAAAAAGTTAACGAAAAAATACAATACTTTGGACAGGCGTCACCATTTTGTAGTTTTCTCTCAATAAGTCTACACTGTATTAACACTCATAAGGACTACATTTCCCAGAAGACAACAGGGTCCCGCCAAGAAGCCCTGTTGCCTTCTGCTGAAATACTAGAGGAAAAGTTTTCATCTTATCGGAAAATGTTTGGCGCTTATTACAGTGACTTGGGTGCCCAGCGGATGAAGAGAGACGCACGGAACCCACCGGAGCAGAACTGGAGCAGACCCAGACCTCCAGACTCATCGGTCAATCTGAGAGCTGCTCACCAGCCCACAAGAACTTCCAAGCAGGAAGGCACCACCCATAGGTCTAGCGTTCCACTGGGACTCTTTTCATCTGGATTTGGACTCCATCTGGACCACAATGGTCATCCAAAGGTCCAGCTCCCTCCAAAATGCATTTCGGTGCTAAAGGGCTGCACAGAACCAGAGCAGAACTGGCAAGTAATGCTGTTGGGCCGGAACCAAGCTGCTGTTTCTGCAGAGCTGGTGAGTAGAGCTGTCATTTCTAACCCGAACCCCAGCCCCAGATTAGGGCAGGGCCAGGCTGTTATAATGTGATTAATGGGCAGGCTGAGCCGGTCTCAGGAATTTAATTAGGTCAGGATCAGCCGTGATCCAATTATATGATAACATGGCCTGCCATACATTCACCAGCCACACGTGGCCATTTCACCGCAAGCTGACCGGCCTTGAAAGAGGTAAAAAGTTCAGTTGAGCTTTAGATGGGACTACTGCCAGGCAGCGATCCATCTCCCAAATGGACGTTCATTCAGCTGCTGCACTCAGCGGACGCGCGCGGCCGATGACCCAAACAGGTGAGATCCTCAGTAATTCAGAAGAATGCAGGCAGAAACAGGGTTTAAACGCTTTTTTACGGCCATGAAATGACAAAACCCCGTCAGCTCCTAATCCTCAGCATCTTTTATTCAGCTGTGTGTCCCTGACCGTTAATAAATAATTAAAAATGTCCGGGGGGGGGGGGGGGGGGCGGGGTTTGGACCTGTAATTACTATTAATTTGTTGGGTCGGGTGGGGTTTGGAAATTATAACTGCGGGCTGGGGCCGGATCAGATTTTCTGGGCCCGAACGCAACTCTACTGGTGAGTAAAAACATCACCACACAACTTAAAATTTTAAGTTGAGTGAATAAACATTATCAAGTTATCTTGATTAATAAACTCTTGCTAAATAAACTTTTGTTTTAGTTTAGTTGATTTAAATTCATTATTTGACTGAACTGTTTTGGTTTGTTGTTTCAACTCAGAAATCTAAATAATTTCTACTTTGCGGTTTTTCACTTATATTGTTTTTTTTTGGGGGGGGGGGGGGGGGGG